CGTCCACGTGCATATTTAGGATCTCGCAACCATAGAGCAGAACTGACCGCACACTGGCGCAGTATACACAACCTTTCAGTTTCAACGAAACATCGCGTCTACAGCAAAGTTGTTTCAATCCAGCGTAAGCTGCTCGAGCCTTAGACGCGATGTTTCGTTGAAACTGAAAGGTTGTGTATACTGCGCCAGTGTGCGGTCAGTTCTGCTCTATGGTTGCGAGATCCTAAATATGCGCGTGGACGATGTTCGTCGTCTTGAAGTATTCGACTACAGATGTTTACGTAGTTTGGCTCCGGTTGGATGGAGCAAGCTTGTAAGCAACTCTGAGGTGAGGCGTCGCGTATTCGGTAATGATTCGATGGAGAATTCGTTGTCCGATCGAATTCAGATTAGTCGGCTTCACTGGTTAGGACACGTATTGCGCATGCCCAGCCATCGTCTGCCGCACCGCACCTTATTCCCAATTACGGACTGCGGTTCCACACCGCCCTACGACTCAGGCTTTAGAAAGCCGAAGGCTCCGATTGTGGATTCTTCAAGAAAATTCACCTGCCTTGACCTGCGCAACCTGGCAGTATTCGGCCCACATGCAAATCGTGGAACGTTTGTCTTTTTGTAAAGATGATTGCACCATGATTTGTTTGGCACACAGTCTGGCTTCAGACATGTGTGAAATATATTATATATACGAGCGCCACTGTTTACGAAACTCAGCCAAGTGGGGCATAGGTAGATGAACCATCGACATATGCATTCACTTGATTTCGGCTGTGTGCAAACAGGGACTGGATAATGATCAAGAATGAATTTGACTCACACGTCGTTCCTCTCCCCTCTACTTCCACAAGAGAACAGTACCGTCGACGGGAGCAAAAGCCACGCTCGGATCAAAGAAAGAAAAAATCAGCCTAAGGTACGAGCAGTCATGCTCGGAAATCTGTGAAACGATGAAAATGTGATCAGTATAACCCATGACCGATTAGAAACCGTCTAACCTGCATGGGCATGTGGTCTGCTTAAGCACAACATTAACGTAACTTCACAGGGATAGTAAGCGAGACATAAAATCAGTTTTGTTTCCCAATGATTCGGCCTGATAATTTAAGGTTGGATTAGTCACAAAAGAGTAACACATATGACTATCGTTTTTTTCTCAAAATCAGTTCAGTTCAGTTTTACAACCATTAACCATGCGCGGGTTTTGGTTGCTGTCTTTTGGTTGCCCATTTGGATAAAATAGCGAAATGAAGA